AAAATGCTGCTGCCCTGGACCTCTGAGGGAAGACAGAAAGGGTGGGGGTTGTGTGGCTTATGTGAATAAGCAGAAATGTATTGTCGCCAAATCAGGATCCTCTTTTAAATAAAAAGTGGTGAATTAGGCCCAGTATTTGTCCTGATGTGTATAAACACTTGTTGATGACTTCCACTTTTATGCCCTTCTGTCATTTCAGATTTGCAGATCATGGCTGTATATTAGAGATCAGGGACGTAAAGTTTTTTCCTGATGGGCGCTCAGTTGTTGATACAGTTGGTGTCCGTCGTTTTAGGGTCTTAAGCCATGGCCAGCGAGATGGATATAACACAGCAAACATCGAGTATCTTGAAGATAAAAAGGTGATCTATGGTGCAAAGTTATTCATACCCATGTATTGCTGGATTCACATAAATAGCCTTTCCTTGTTGCATTTCAAGCTAGCTGTGCCTTATTTTTAAACCAATATCATTATAAATACTAAAGCTCGATTTTTGAAAACCATGGAACAAACTTTGTCTCTTCCTTCCCTTTCTTCCTTTCTGCCCTTATCTCTGCTTCAAGTGTTGCACTCCCTTCATAGAGCTTAAAGTAGCTTCTGAGACTCAGGTGCTGAGGTCTGACATGATGTGTACGTGAGGTCAGGGTAAGGTTTTAAAACTGGTACAGACTTGAAATCCTTCTAAGAACACATGCCCCTGTTGTTAGAGAATTGACTGTTCTCTTCTTACATTGACCAGACAATTGGCAGACTTCATATGACCTCCGAGCTCTGGTTTACAGAACAGGTCCTCAAACAAATGTGGGAGTCCGCTCTTAAAATGAGATGTTAGTGACATGTAGTTAACCATTCCTGTACAAGCATACATCAGAGCTGCCTGAGAGCAGAGAAATACGGAGAGGAGAGTAGTTTTTAAAAACGAGTCCTCTTATGAAACCTGTGTCAAGTGAGGTGCTTGTGATGGGTGTTGGCCAAAGGGTGGATTTTTGGTCATGCTTAATGATGACTTCCTGGATCATCTTCAGAGCATGTCTATAAAACCCTGATTCCTCTTAACATTGAGTGCCAATTGATGAAGTCCAGTCTGGTCATAGAGCTCTTCAGCATGCTGTCATAGTTGAAATGCAAATCTGTAAAGTCTTGCTAGGGCTTTTCTAGCCTGTGCAGGATGATGCAGTTGTTCTCCAGGGCAGGAAAGGCAAATCGTATAGAGGTGCCTTCCCCTGCGAAAAGTCGGAGTATCGAGTCTGCTGAGAGTGAGAGCTCTGACATGTTTCAATCCCCAGTGAGGGCAGTAGAACAAGGGTGTCCAGGCATTTTTTGTAGATGGTGCCAGAGACCCACCTCTTCATAATTAGGGTGAGATTTACCTTGTCTCACTTGAGAGGCTGATGTCTGTGTTCAGCACCCTACGTCCATGTGGTATCTGATGGTGAGAAATCTCAGTCCAAAGCTGTCTATTTTATCTCGTCTGTCTTAGATACCTACCTTAAGATGAGATTAATTGCCATCTAGAACTGTTTCTCCTCGACTCTGAAGGGCTTCTAGAGCAGCTAGCTCAGATGTGCATCTGAGTAGCACAGGTGAATCACACCATTGGTGTGTACAAATTACAGGAATAAAACCAACAACAAGCCCAAACCAACAAACAAACAACCAACCAAAAAATTACCAATTTGTAGTGGGTTTTGCTTATGCCTTGTTCTTTTCCCTAATGGCTAATAGTCAGGCTTGTGCAACTAAAGCACTCTTTGCCTCAGCGAGGGTCTTTTTTTTTATGGCCATTCCTGGTATTGGGAAAGCATCTGCTTTCCTTGCTTCCTGCCTGCTCAGGTGTCTGCCCTCTTCCTCCTCCTCCTCCTCCTCCCTGGCTGTCCTGCCATAGCCTGAACACTTCTATAAAATACTGCTGATCTCTAAATGCCATAGACCCCCTGTCTCTGTGCTCAGTGGCAGTAGTGTTTCTTTTATTTTGCCAGAGGATATATCAATGTTCAGAGGTCCTTCTGTGACAGGGAGTTGAGGTTGTGGGTTTGAGATGATTAATATGTCCCAGCATTAGAGAGCAGATTCTTCTGTTGTGCCATAGGAATGGATATGAACAAGGCAGTAACTTCTCCAAGAAATGTCACTTCAGAACACCTAGGGGAGGGTAAAAAGACTCCAGCATCACAGGTTTGAAATCTGAGACTTGGGTACAGTTTGATTAGATAAGGACACTGGAACAGGTGTAGTCATTGGATTATTTTGCTTCGCTTGTTTCTGGGGAGGCATATGGACTCCACAGTATCCAACCTGTTTTGTTCCATCTCCCTTCTTTTAACAATAAGGTTGAAGGACCGGAATATGAAGAACTTGTCCGCCTTCATGATTCAGTTTACGATCAAGCCGTTGCCTGGTTTACTTCTCTTAAGGACAATATGAAAGTGCAAATTCTCAATCATTTTGGGTCCATGCCAGGAAAAGAACCAGAGCCACAGGTAATAAAACTTTCCTACGTATACAGCCTTATTCTATACAGAATTTTTACACAAGACTATTTCCTGACAGGTTTTTGCTGTGGTTTCTAGGGTCTTACCCAATTTTGGTCTATTAGCGTGAAGCATAGAAAATAATTAATCAGTGGAAAACAATATATCAATGTAAGTTGATATCTGAAGAGATCAGTCTTAAAGGTGTATCTAGATTAAGTGTTTAGCTGCTGCTTGAACTGTTTTGTGGTGACTTTATTAGCAAATAGAAGGTGGGAAGGAAGGTGGTCTTCATGGGGCAGTGCCACTGAATACATAACTGCATGTCTTTCCATCCTTTTGCAGAGTAACCCCAGTGGTCCTGCCTGGTACTGGTGGCTCTTGGCAGTGTTGCCTCTGGAAAACAGAGCTCAGCTGGCTATATTGGCTATGACCTCCCTTAAAGATCGTCTTATCGCCATCAGACGCGTGTTGATATTTGTGACTCGCAAAAGACCCAGATAACATGGACTTCAGTTGTGAGTGGGCACTGAAAACATCTCACGACAGGTTGTTCTGGGGGAGGGCAAAGGGGGAGGGGTTGTTTTGGGGTTTTTTTTTTAAAGATTCCTTCAAAAAGGAACAGCCCTTTCTGACTGCGTCCGGCATCCATTGATTGCATCGGTTTGTTATCCTGGGTATTCACCAAACATTGCACTCTCCCCTGTTGTCCTGGTGAAATCTGAGCCTCTACAAAGCTGTGCCGCAGTTAGAGTGTAGCTGATAGATGTGGATAATTGCTTCAGAGTACTACGATAGAGTTTGTAGCCTGCAAGAGAGTTAAGTACTAGAGTAGCACCATTGGCCTGCATGTGATTTGGATTTCCACTTGGTAGGAAAAGGAAACTGGACAGTGGATTGAAGAGGCGTTTCCTAGATTTTCTTGAAGGTAGTGAACAGAAGAGGAGTTACGCTGCCTTGCAGAAGTGTGCGTGAAGACTATAACCAACAGTGCGCTCTGTTAGTGAATCGGTAGGCAGTCTGTCATACACCCACATCTCTCTCTCTCTTCAGCGAATAGCAGTCTGTGAGGAAAAAAAAAAAAAAAGCCGTTTGTGGTCAAGGCATCTGAGGATGTTTATCTGAAAGAATAATAGCTACTGAATAAGTACACTATTTAGTAGCCTTAGGTAATCCCTCTTACTGTGATTTATGTGTCGTAGCGGATTGAGTATGTACAAAATGTTTGAAAAGGTGTACTTTGGTTTATTTGAAAAGAGGAATCAAAGTAATCCTAGCTGGTCTTATCACTAATTCAAGTCAAACCGGCTCCCTAAAGTATCATAAACTCTGCTGTGAAATAATGATTTCACCCCAGGTATGAGGGAGGCATGCTGCAGTTTGCTCTGAATCCCTGTTCTGCACGTGGGACCGGCGAGGATGAAGCGCGGGGAGATTTCCATCTCCCTCCTGCCTGCGGTGTCATGCCAACCTCCCGTTGGAGTGATATCTACTGAACATGTTTCAAACCGAAAGTATTGTAGTTTAGTACCAGTTGCTGTATGTGATGGAAATCAGTTCACAGTAACACCGTGAAAGGAGGCACAAACCGAACCTACAAAGGCAAGTCTCAATGCAAGCTTAAGTCAGGTGTTAGCCTTCATTTGTCTTTTTGATTATTTTTTATGTATTGTTTTGTTGATAACTACCTTTGATAGCTATTAAATTGATCGCTTGTCAGTCAAATGATCAACATTTGCTCAACTGCCAATGAAAAAACTAACAGTGTTACCAATTAAATTGGCATAGTTTCCTATAAGTATAACTGATGCTACCAACAGGGAAAAAGAGTTGACTTGAATCTCCATGTGCTGCAAGTATAGCAAAACCAATGTAAAGACTTGTTCATGTGCAGAAGTCTGGTAAGAAGAAATGGCTGTTTACCTAAATGGTCAAAAGTGCCTGGTTTCTTTTTCAGTTCTTTTGTCCTTATTTGTCAATGAAGATGTATTTAAACTTTTTTCTTTTTTTTTTTTTTTCAATTTGCACATGAGTTCTGGAAGAAGACTGCATTAAAATGCGGTGATTAAGATATATTACCTGCTCTCTTTGGGTATTGTAGTCATAACCTGTGTGGTCTGGGAAACAAAAATACAGAGTTTTTTTCCTTTCAGCAAATGGCTACCACAAATGGTTTCTGTAACATACCCTGAATGTACTGTAACTGCCTCTACCTTGAACACGCCTTTTCTATTTAAATAGTTTGTAAGTATGTTCTCTGAATTGTGAAGTGCATAACTTACACCCGATGATGTCATAACCTCTACAGTAGCCTTCTGCAAGTTCTGCTACGGTCACCAAAATACTCAAAATTCAAGTTGACTGCATTTCCTCCGGGATTTGAAGATGAAGAAGAGGAAGTCACTGAAGTAAAAAGAAATTGTTCTGTATGTGGGGGAGGAAATGCCAGAAGTCAGTAGGTCTGCAGCCCACTGTCAGCTGAGCCACCAAAGGGTGGTTTTGCAAAACTAATTCTCCGACCAGAAGATGGGCTGTATTTGATTGCGCAATCCTTTCTGTTCAGCTTCCTGTTCTTCCCAGCCTTTTCCATGCCGTGTATTTCTTCTAGACTCACTCATCTCGCTCCTTCGTGTGTCTGGCCTAGTTTTGAGTATCGCTAGTTTAGCTGCAAGGGGACACTGATGGTATTTGTATATTGCTCGTCCCTGATCTTACATGTGCTTAATTTTACATAGGAGTGCGTTTAAGAAAAAAAAATAAATATCAAGGTGCTAGTTAGTGTCTTCTTGGCTTTGCCTCAGTAACTAATGTGAATATTCTTCTTTGCGAAAGTGATTTTTCAAGATATCTACTTTTGAGGTACTTCTGAGAGGAAACCCTACAGAACAAGAGAGAGGTTCTTTACTGCTGTTCTGTAATGTGTAAAGACACATTTTACATGGAAGGTGACATTACTGTGTTCATGAAGGCCTGCATAATTAGTGGAATGATAGTTATCGAAGAGAAAGCTGAACTGTAGAGGGATTTTTTTTTAGTCGAGGTTTAAAGCAGTTTGTGAATATTTCAGTGACTGATGTTTTGGATAAATGATAACAACGTAGGATTTGTCTGTGTATGGATGCAAATAATCATACTAGCAGCCCAAAGCTGACATTTCTTCCAAAACATTGAATGCTGATCAAATAGCAAAGCTTTAATAAATTAAAAACAAAAAAATCACCACTGCCCTGTGGTACTTGCTTTCTAAAGGCAAGTGCCAATTTCATTGTTACCAAATTATCTCTGCCATATAATCTCTACAGCATCCGGTAGTACCTCATGGGAAAAGCTAGCTATCTCAATTTCTCTCTAGAGGAAATGTCCACGTTACGGCCGATCTACGCTTAGGTGTAACTTGTCGCCAAGGTACATGTGGAAGCATTGGAGCTGAGCTCCTGGAAGAGATAGACAGGATTCGTTGCCTTTCTAGCTCATTACACTTTTCTTGCTTGCTGTCCAAGCAAGGATGCTGGGATATATGATGAGTCTTTTCACTGTGGTGAATGTGGCCCTTCTTTATACATCATAAAGAGGCCAAAAAAAAAAAAAAATCCCTCTACCTCTACACCTATTGTTCACCTGTAAAGCTTCAAGCTGCAAAATGATATATATATATTTTAACCTTTTTTTGTCTTTCAGAAGCATACTAATTGTTTGCCACTGAGGCCTTTTATCTACTGTATTTTAATATGTTCATTTGATAGTCATCGAGATCTCTTTGTACTTCTAACCTGTAGATCTTGTCATGTTTCTTACTGCTCCTTTTTCCTCGTTCTCCAGTCCACTTTTAAATTGATAAATAGAAAGCAGTACACTCTCTATTCCTATTACATTTTACACTAGTGGAACTGGTATTTTGGTAGCGCCTTAATTTTGCAGTTGTGAAATGATTGTATCAACTCTTATCTGGGGCTTCTGACCAGATTTAAACGAGTATGTTTAATGTAGATAAACTTGAAACCATTTTTTACTGTTTTAAAGCTAGTTATGAAATGGAGTGTGTACATATGTATAAATATAAATTATTAATCTGCACCTTTTTTTGTATCTAGTAAATACAGACGTTCATGTTCTAACCACATTTGGCCCTTCTTGTTGCATAAGCAAAGCCAAAACTTTTTTTAAAAATTGCAACGTTCATTTCATGTATATTTGCAATATTCATGGGAAATGTATTTAATTTATGTGATATTTGGAATAAAACCGATTGAATTTATAAGAGCGTGAGTTTATGGGAAAGCTTTATCACTCTGCCAGGGCTGAGAGCTGCACCCGCGGTGAATGCGGTCTAAGCTGCAACAAGCTGCTGATGTGCTGCTGTCAGGAGGGGGGTGATGGTTTGATTTCCCCGACAGGAGCCTGAGGGATGAGAATTGGCCTCACGAGGTTTTAAGAAGCAAGTGGCACCCTAGAAGCAGTGGTTAGATGCTGGGGTTCTTAAGTTGCATGGCATAGGTCTTAGGCGCAGTACAAGAGAATCGGGGGAGGCTGCAGAGGACGTGGCACGGTGGGTTTGGTGGGGAACCGGGGCAGCCTCTGGCACTGGGTGTGAATGTGGCGGGGGGGGGTCTGAAAGGGAGCAGGAGGTCTCCGAAACGGGAGGGAGGTAAGGAGCCCTCAGCAGAGGTGGGATGAGGGAGGTAAATCCTTAGCTCCCCCAGGAGCGGAATGTGACAAAGACAGGAGAGTCATCACGCAGTTGGCTTTTCATTTCATAGCTTCTTGGATTGAATGTTTTTTTAGCCCTAAGTGTGACCTGAGTGCCCCCACAGAATAAATGCTGAAAAATATGGTTAGGATTAAGAAAACAAAATGGTTTGTTGGCCAAACCCGCTGAAATAAAATACCTTCATGGTGCTGCAAGGTGGAGGTGATGTTCCGCAGCGAGGTGCTGGGCGCAGCTGGCACGGGTGCAGAGGGTGGTGGGACACCGGCCAGGCTGCTGCAGCAGCAGCAAAATGCAGTTGTGGAAGGCAAAGCCGAGCCAGATTGCAGAGACCATATCTCATCCCTCAGCTACATCTCGCTGCCAGCTAAGCAAAAACACTTTGAAAGCATTTTCGTAAATACTAAATATTAGCTTTTTTTTTTTTTTTCTTTTTGGGAATTGGATTGAGTTTGCCTTTATTCATGCTGCCTTTGTGCCTGTATTCACCGAATGTCTGAGCAAACAAATGTCAGTTATAGGACTGCTCTTTTAAAAGAAGTTGCAAGCGTGTCTTGGAGTATGCATGTTAAGTGCTGCCCGAGCTGTTTTGATATGCTGGACAACAGCGTTCTTTAAGCATCACTCCTCTCACCAAAGGAGAGATGGGAAAGATGACTGATCCACCTTTCCTTTTTATTACTCAGATCCTCTTGTGCCTTAGGACTTTGAGAGGAGTAGAAGCAAAATAACTGCATGAAGTTAGTAAATACTAATAGGATTTTTTTTTTTTTCTCACCCTGCATATCCTTCGCTAGCTGATGTGGAGCCCTGGAAGGGCAGCGTGTCAGGTTGTGCCCATTTCCCTGAGCCTTAGAACGATGCCATTGCTAGAGCACAGAAACCGTAGTGGTCTGTTGTCCTCTTCGCATTGCTTTCCGCTTCATCAAACCGGGAACTCAGAATAGCGCTGCTTAATTCTGTCCAGCAGCACTTACATTTGAAAGGCTGAGCACTCGCTGGAAGCTCTTGGCTATTGAGCCATAGAATGAGAAAAACGAGTAATCTGGACCAAAAAATCTGAGACTGTGTATCTACGGGGGAAGGGGGGGAAAAAAGTGTATCCATGCCAGCACTTTCTTTAGTTCCTTTAACAAATGTGTATAGTATCCTTGCAGCTAAAAGGCGAGCGTGTTTTTAATCGCATTTACATTACACGGTAGGAACAAGTTGTTTCTAAATCGAGATGAATATCACTTGCTGACAGCTTTTA